TATTTAGTATTATTTTTATAAATTACTCTACAAAAATGTAAGATTTATTGTAAACTTATTATAAAAATTATTGTAATAAAACTTTAAATCTTGAGTGAAAAAATAAAAATCTAAAATATTTTGATATATAATAAGTATTATATTTTAATATCGATAAATTCCTTAATAACAAATGTACTTCCTTTTTAAATGTAATAGTCATATTTAAAATGAACATTTTAATCGACTATGAAATCTAAAACGAAAAAAATGTATAGTTTTAAAATATATTTTAATGATGCATGTGAACATATAGTAGGAAAATTCCACTAGCTGGACAGATATATATATGCGTGCGTGCGTGCGTGCATGTCCAGCTAGTGGAATTTTCTTACTATATGTCCACATACATCATTAAAAAGATATATATATGTGTATATATATGTGTGTGTGTGTGTGTGTGTGTGTGTGTGTGTGTGTGTGTGTGTGTGTGTGTGTGTGTGTGTGTGTGTGTGTGTATAAATATAGATATATAATAGCCTATTATAAAACAGGATGAAACAAAACGAATGAAGATGAAAATTAGCATATTCCTAAATATAGAGAAATCTACATCTATTAATGCAAAATAAGATTTTTAATAATAAACCATACAAAATTAATATTTATATATGCCGTCATGAGAATATTAATATACAGAAATATTTTCATAGTTTGACTCCGGAGTAATTCAGCTTTATAAATATTTAAGATACAATTAAAATGTTAATAACGGATGGGCTGTGGCTGAAATATTAATTGAAAGCTATTTTTATAGCTTTTTGACTTTAAAAATTATAAATGATAAATATATTTTGCTATATTTTAGCATTGCTATTGATAGAAAGCTAATATGTACAGAAAACAGTAGATAACATTGTACGCCTTCGATAACATTAGTCGTTAAATTAAGACTATTTCAATTAAAAGTCTTGTTAAATTATGTTTATTTATACATATTTCATAGAAAATGTATTATTTAATTGCATTATTATTTAAACGGTGTCAAGTTTATGTACTGAAATATATATTATTCTATTCTGAAGAAAAAAATAGCATTTTTAATTGTGTAATATTCAAATTAATAATTTTATGAAAATATTTTGAACAACAGATTATAAACATTTGTAACACCTATTTTATATAACAAATTACAAATTCAAAATATCACAAAGAATTTTGTGCAAGAAACGTTATTCATTTTATGTTACTATATATATCAATCTTAGAAAATTAATTTGCAAAAGTTCACCAACAATAAATTATTATATTCTTTACAGTAGATATACAAATATAACTTTATCTGATAGTTTACATTTAAATCTAAAGATAATTTACACATATGCTATATATATGTATAAATCTTTTGTCAAAAGATATTTTTCGTATATCAATCATGTCTTATATTCAAGGATAATATACACTAGGATATATTCTATTTCATTTATAATTTAATGTATTTCATTATAATATTGCTACAAGAGTTTGCTATACTCCATAGCTCTAGTAAAACAATTGTATCAAAATGTTACGTTTAACATGCTCTGATAAGAAGCGAGTAGGTAACTCGTGATATTCGAGCAAACTATCTAAGTAGCAATATAAATGTGATGTAAATAAAAAAAATGTTCAATATTAAGTATTGCAAGTGGTACAATTATATCTCGTTGTCTTTATATATAGACATCTGTGCAATAAAGTATATGTAATCGAATTATACATACGACAATCTAATTTAAATAATTTACTTATACAGAGTGTTCCAGAAATAGGTAGTCAAACTTTAGTATCGTATTCTTCTGTCTATAAGGATGAAAGAAGGTTATATAAACATAAGTCTGGAAATTCTTCCTTTTTAAGATATAAACATTTTATTTGCGAGAGAATATTTTAAAGATTTAAAATTTGAATAATTACTCACTCGATATTAGAATAAATTATCTTAGTAACATTATTTTAACTATGCAATGTTTAGATAGAAATTAATTTACTACGATAAGCTGCCTTCGATGACATTATACTTGTTGTACCATAATATTTACTTCGTGTAATATCTATTCAACTTTTGAGATGAACAAAAAGTATTTATATCATTTTAATCAAAAAGGAAGAGTTTTCGGACTTATGTTTATAACTTTTTTTTATCTTTAGGGATGGTAGAAAACGATACCAAAGTTTGACTATCTATTTTCTAGGAACCCTATATAATAAAAATTATCAATTTATAAATTATGTATATTAGGCTGATTAAATTTTAATATAATAAGACAAATTTTTTTTCTCTGATGTAACAAATTGTAAAAGAAATTCTATACGTTTTCTTTTTTATTTGGAACTTTAGAATGCATGAAATGCCACAACACAACACATAATTATTATGTAAACATAATCTTTTGTTTACTTTATAAATAAACTCTTATTTTTTTCTTTGTAATTGTAGCACTATTTTAGATAATTTTTCCTATATAAAGTTTATTTTGTACTTGTTTTATAAATAATATCTATTAAACTTTATTTAATATACACGTACATAGAATAAGAAATAAATGTTATTAATCTATACTTATGACAATAAAATATAAACTATAATTTTTTTATTATAAAAAAATATACTTTATATGCTTCATTTATAATTAACACATTTTTTAATTATTTAAGATGGAAGCATATCAAAATGTTGACATATATCTATACACGCGTGCAAGCACAATGTGCTATTTAGAATATATTAAATATAAATTGCTTTTTTACATCTTTATTAAAATATTAACTGTATCAATATAAAAAAATAAAACTAATGACAAGATCTATGATACAGAAATATGTGTGTGTGAATGTGTGTGTATAATATTAAGTAATTAAAGGGATAATGATGTAACTATAACTAGAGATACAATGGCAATAATAATATTCTTAAAATATTTGGTTCTGTTATTTAAATTTCATCTTCGTTTAAAAGCATGTTTGGAATGCCATCGTTAATAGGAAATTTTCTGCCAGATTCAGGACACAATAATTCTCCGTTTATAACTTCGATTTCCAACAGAATATGATGAGCCTTTTTCAGAAAATCTTCATTTGTCTCGAAGTCTTCTATTAGAATCTGAGGTAATTCACCTACATGTCCTATCTGTAATAAAATACTCGTTAATATATTATAAAATACTTTTTACAGTATTTCAGTAGATTATATTGTAAAATAATATTGTATATTATATAAGGTGTTTCATAATAAATAATATTTCAGGAATGAATGCAGGACACAAAAAATTTGTACAAGCATTTGTTCTATCTGACCCTGTTTCCGAATTAAGCCTGTGATATACGATTGCTTGCATACTATTGTGCTGACAATTTTGTTGATTGCTGCTGGAAATTATGTAGCCTGCTAGTTACGCTGCTGGCTGAATTTGTTGAATTTTTGTGACAGGTCAGATACTATTTTTCTTGTATAATTTTGTGCTGGATCATTGTGAAATCCAATAATTAAAAACAATGCAATTATATATTTACGATGTGCCGTAGTAGCAACAATCTACTTCATATTTACTTATTCGAATACTTCTGTCAAAAGTCTTTTGTCAAACAAATTACTGCTGTTCGACTAGCCAGCACCGCTGCCAACACGACAACAAATTTAGCTAGCAATCCTGTAGAAAAAAAGCCATTGTATGTTGCAGGCTTTACTCAGAAACAAGATCAAATAGAATAAATGTTTATATGAACCTTTTATGTTACTTTTGTATCCTAAATTAATTTCTGAAGTTACGTCTACGTGTTATGAAACACTGCGTGCACGAGGACATGTACATAGAGTTGGGAAAGTCATTTTGTAAAAGTAATTAGTTACAGTCATAGTTCTTTCTCTCAAAAAATAATTACAAGTTATTGACTTTGAAAAATAACTCGTTATAGTTACAGTGTTATTAAAAAAAATAACTTTATTACTTTTCTGTTTTCATAACAGAGCAGTACAGATAACATCAGGAAAGACGCCAATTGCGCATATCTTGCACACATCGCTAATTGATAAATTTAATATAAAACATTCTCATTGGTAAAAAGCAGTGAAAAATTCTAGGCTAATACAAATGGTATGTGCAAATGCGAATATAGGCTAATTCAGGATCTTTCTTAACATCGATACCATTAGGATTATCAAGAAAAAACTTATTTACGTTTACATGTTATATAATTTTATTTAAAAAAAATAAGAAACAATTATATAGCAAAGAATAGGAAAAGTAATTATTGGGTATACAAATAAGTTTCCATCATTTTCTAGATCTCTTTAAATAAATTGCAATCGTTTTTATAGAAAAATAAGACTATTTTATTCAAAATATTTGCCATCAAAAGCTGTAATCTTCTACTTTTCAGGTAATAAGTAGGCGATAGAAGAAGTACGATTTGTTTTGAAGTAATCCAGTCATCAAGTCAATTCACATGGGACCCAATTTTCTTGCTTTTAAACCATTCCCATTGCATGTAGACGGGGAAATACATTGTTGAGTAACATTTAATGCCATTACTAAATGTTTTTGTTTGGCACGAATTCATCCAGTAATGTTTTCAATTCTGCATCTTCAAATTTTTTTGATGCATCTTTACGTTTTTTGTCTTCCATGTCTTCCAAAATCGTTACTTTTAAATTTTCTGAACTTTCTACAAGTACTTTCTTTCATTTTCAGCTAGAGCATGTTTACCATAAGCTTCTACAAGCAAACGGCGACTTTCAGCAGTAGTTTTCTTTAAAATAAAATAATGCAGCAAAACTTGCCGCAAATGTTGTTTTGTTGGCACAAAATTTGACATTTTCGACACAATGAGAAAATTTGTCGTTTATACTACACTCTAATGTTATATATTAAATCTTAAAGCTTACTTAGGTATCTAATACTTAGATATGTTACTATTTTTAATTATATGCACGCAGTATTGGTGACGGCATCTATTAGAAAACGATGGAAACTTATTTGTATACCCAATATATAGCAAAAATGTTTTTCTTGAAATTATATAATACATATATATGAAATTGCATTAGCAATTTTAAAACAGATTATCTTGACAAAAAGTATATCTTAATATACCTTATATTGCAATGTACATAAACATTTTCATAATCTTATTTTTTATTTATAATAATTATTTATACTAATATATTTTGTATTATGATACAAGATAAGTAAGATTTCATAGAATCTTACGTATCTTTGTATCTTGAATCGTAGTGACAAAATTTCATATAGAACGCTTAAAAATATTTTGTTATATACAATATTTATATTTATATTTTATTATTTGTAGAAACATTGATGGGACAAGTTGGATCATACAATATGAATAAATCTTTTAATATCCAAAATAATTATTAAAGTATTATTAGTTGCTAGTTTATTAAAAAAATGTAACTTAAGTTACTGAAAAAAACTACAGTTACTGAAAAAGACTTGAACTGTAACTTTGTTACAAACAACGAATTACTTCTTTAATCATGTATACATGTTTATATGAGAAGGTGACCTTACGCTCTCAGCAGCTTTCCATAGTACTGTCCAATCCAATTTTGGAATTATCCTAGCGATATATTCTGGATTAAAATCTACTTCAGATACTCTGATGTCTCGAGCCTGCAAAATTTTACGAATATTTTTAATAAGTATATGATAATGAAATGAGGAATCTTTAAAACAAAATTGTATATTTTTTGGTTTTTCAGACAAGCATAATCTTGAAAGTAATATAAATTTAAAAAAAAATATAGTATTGAATCTCTGTAAAAAATATAGTATTGAATCTCAACAACACTCTTAAAGAGAACTTTAAACAACTATATTTCAAAACAAAAATATTATTATTAATTATGTTATTCAAGTATCTGTTTATTACTAAAGTACATTGTGTGCTGTACATACACGTACGCGCACGCACGCACGCACGCACGCACACACACACACACACACAAACTCTACATAGTAAAAAAATTAACATAGTTTTAGAATATTTTAAATCTTTTTTCTTGGTTATCAACTCAAAAAATATATTTTTTAAATAAATTTTTATTATTACAAAATTAGATTCAAGTTTATTAAGTAAAATTGAAACGTTTAATTAAGTTTTGATGTTTTTATATTTTTGCACAGTATTGTCTAATTGATTATTATTTTATTCGAGTTTTCTGTATGCAATAAGCAATTTAACAATGAGAGTTAAATAATGTTAATAAAATATAACGTATAACAAAATTTTGACCACATCAAAATATTGTTTAGTATATCAAATAATTTTCATAATGTAAATAATTGGATATTTCAATTATTCAAAGTTTCTACACATTTTAGATATTAATTGTAATTTGTGTGTGTATTTTAATGAACAGGAGAAAATAGCTTACGACTATTTTCAGAGGATAGCCAACTGTCACCCCTTTCATAGCTCTAGATGTTAACATATTGTGCGTAAGAAGCTTCATATTTTTCTGCAATAAGAAATTGACACAGCGCGAATTATTTGCTCCAATATAACACAGAGAAACAAAACGTGCACAACACTACCATAATACACCATAATAGATAGCCATAGACACAGTATAAACAGAGGGAAACTCTTTGACTATATAAGTATGGACCGCCAGTAAATGCAAACTTCACACTGGTTGTCAAATCGTAGCGACACCATTAAGAACACCGATGAGATACTATTAAAGACGGACGGCGCTTATGGAAATTCGTGTGCCTGTTAAGGCCTGTTCTACAATAGAGTTGTAAGCAGTAAGCTGTAAGGAATTAATCAATCATCGATTATTCTTCTTATACTTAACTGTGACTAGCCAATTTCTTACGGCTTACGACTTGCGACTCTCTTGTAAAAGGAGGCATAAAATTTAAGTGATAAAAGACCCAATGCACCCAATGACTGTGTTTAGCGGACTTAACAATTGAGTGAGCGCTCGCTGCTATTGGTGTATTTTTTTAGATCATCCAATTAGCAGAGATTTAGATTACATCAATAGCAGAGAGCGCTCTCTCAAGTGTTGAGTCCGTTGAACGCAGCCAATGAGCTTGTTGAAATTGGCAAAGCGGCTAGTCTGCTTGCCGAGCAAATGAGCATAATTGGTTGTTACTTATAGATCTAACTAATCATATTCAATCACTCGGTAAGCATGCCTAGCCACTTTGCCGTCTTGAATTCGTCCAATTTGTGTCTCTTGTTGGAAATCTCGCAGAATTATCAGAGTTATCAGAATTACCTGTTTACTAGAATTGACCCATCAAATGGTAAATGCGATTGGTCAGTTAAACGCCGATTAAATAATTAAGTGCATCCAGAAGCACGATCGCTCACTGAGCGCTTTTATACCTGTTTGGTTTATATTTTTAGTTCTAACGGAATATGCCAATCAGATGCAAGAGCTTACTGAGCGCTCAGTAAGCGGTCGTGCTTCTAGATGCACTCATTGACGTTGATAAAATCGGCCTTAGACCAAAAAAAGAAAGAAGAAGGTATGTGAGCGATGCGTTTATGAACGCGGAGAACACCACGCCATGTTTGCCTGAGGTATGTAACTGGATGTTTTACTAAAAACATGGCTGAATTATTGTTTCGTCGTTCAGTAAAATTTTATGTACAGTGAAAGAACGATCTGACGTCGAACACATGAGTTTGAAGTCATTATGACTTCGATTCATCTTGTCGTGCATCCTTTGCCAGGAACTGATGACCAACTCAATGATAGGCAAGAAATTTCATCTGCTATCGGTTTCTCACACATTACTGCATTCTAATTTGTGTATCATACCTGAGAAAAAATACTATTTTTTTCTTATTTCAAAGTGGTCCATTATTGTTGCAACTATCACGACATGTCATGACATGTTACGTATGCATTATTCCCATTTCTCTTCTTATTTCGCGTGTATCAGCGTAACAAATGTACGTTTCCGTTGACATTATCCTCGCCATATTTTAATGGCAATTTATAAAAATGTGATATCTGATCATTAATCCTGTTTTTTACATATACGCTTCAAGTCTTGTAATTGCAAAGAATGCAAGATATATTTGTTAAGAGATTTAATCCTAAATTTCTCTAATTGGTGTACAATCATATATAACTGAACAAATAAATAATGCATTGTTGAAACTTGTTATCAAACTTGTAATATATTTAAATATGTTACCACTATAATGAAAAAATTATCTTGCAATAGCAATGGAAAGAAATATTTTTATTTTATATTCATTAATTTCAAAAAGATAATTGTCTATTTTATATATTTAATCTATTTTGTACATCTATATAGTAATATTGTATTTTATGGTTGTATATTGTTTTAGATTGAGGGAAATAGCGGATAAAATAAATAGATATGGATTCGTAACACCATTAGCTTTTAATTCTTTAAAAGCATCAATAAAGCGTATTGTAGTTGGACCAAGCCATATTGCTTTTCTTACGGATGACTGTAGAATAGCTAGAGTTTCATTTACAGTGCTACCAGATAGATTGGATTTGAGTAAAAATGAACCTAACAGAAAGTGAGTGAAAATGGAGCAAATATATATGTGACTCTATACGGTCGGTAATACTGATCGGTAATATTGATCAGTAATAGGATGAGTTTCCTAATTTATCGATTGATCATATTGTGCACAAATATAATTTTTTTCTACATAAAAGTTGCATTTAGTATAACGAATAAGCGATTAATCAATCGATAACTTAAAAAAACTTGCCCTATAAAAATATTAAAAATATTGATGCATACTGACAGTATGCATCAATATTTTTAATATTTTTATAACTTTACATGATCAGTATTATTAACAATATATTTTACTTTACTTTTATATACATTATATTTTTCACTGTGACATGATATGGCTCTTAATAAAGCGATATTAATGTTCGAGAATCAAAATCCAGATCATTGTCAATATTTCACATCAATCCATTAATATTAATTATATATAATCAATAATATTGATAGTATTTGTTAATACTGACAGTATTATTGACCATGTTAGGGTCACGTTATGAGAGGACAGTTTATGCAATAATCAGAAAATGTCTGTTTTATTGTAGTACAAGTAAAAGTCATATTGGAAACTCTAATTCTGCACCAAATGGAAATGGAAATAGCAGTAGTGGTAATAGAACAGGGATGTCACGTTCACGTGCACGGATCATGCGTAATAGTTCCGCAATACGTGGAGGTAACAACAGTGGAGGGAGCGGAAGTGGTGGTCGTATAGGACCACCTGGAGTTATTATGGGTGGAGGAAGTGGTAGCAATTCTCGTCCTATCGCTTCTGTACCAGCACCATTTGTACCAGAAGATCTAATATCTCAGGCACAAGTTGTATTGCAAGGAAAAAGTCGCAATCTTATTATCAGAGAATTACAGGTTTAATATCAATGTTGTAAATAAAAAGAATGTAAAATAACAAAGAATTACGTAACTTAATAAAATAATTCTATTAATATTTGCAGCGTACAAATCTAGATGTAAATTTAGCAGTAAACAATCTTTTGTCACGAGAAGACGAAGAGGGTGATGATGCAGAAGATGCAGCAGATAGTTATGTTCCAGAAGATCTTATTTCTTTATTAGATGGTGGCTTTAGTAATGAGCATTCAGTTATAATTGATGCTGATTCTATGTTTTCTGAAGATGTATTTGGATACACTGGAATAAGGCAGTAATTAATTTTTTACATATGTTATAATTGTCAAAGTGTTAACTCAGTAAATATATACATTTACTGTAGTTAACACTCTGTGATATATATACATATAATGATTATACACAGAAAAAGAGAAAGAGAGACAGATAGACAAGCAGATATATTTCAAAGAGATAGTTTTAAACTTTGCCAGTTTGTAGTGCTTGCTAAGTTGTATAAAAAATACTTAATCAATGTTGGTTTGCAAATCAAACATTTTCTTCAATAAATATTTTTTATTT